TAAATAATAATAATAATAATAATAATAATAATAATAATAATAATAATAATAATAAATAATAATAATAATAATAATAATAATAATATCATGTTATTCTTGATTGCAAAAATGACTGCCTTCCCAAAAAACGTCAAAGCTATCAAGAGATTGGCTGACCTGTGTCTTTGATAAGTTCTGGGTGGACACAAAGAGCTCCATTTCTCCATCTTCTCCTTTTGGCACAGCAATTGTGCAGTGAGTCTCCAGATAAAAATGTTCCTGGCCACCAATGTACATCTCCCCTAGGGAGGATGGAAAGAAAGATCTCCAAATCAAATAATACATTAACTTCAAAATAGTGTTTTCAGGGGTGATATGAGAACTTGTACAATAATGACTCTGATTCAAGCTCCTGGAATTCAGAGTCCAACTGCTGAACTTCCCTGCTTGAGTGCTCAGAATCCAATCACTTGGGAGAAAAAAAAAATGTGCCTCTCCTGAGTCCATCAACATGCTAATAATCTTAATGCACCTTGCCAAATAACAGCTTGCCTTTCCTTTGCTCCTCTTAACAAAGAAAAAGAAGATTTTTCTCCCTTTTCTTATTCCTTTTCCTTCATTAGTAACTTTGGGCCCAGAATCCAGGAGATATAGTTTATTCAAGATTTTACCCTGCCCAGATTCCACCACACCCAATCATGCTGTTAGCTAGGAAAAAGCATTCTCATGTGTTTTTAGCCTCTGAGCACTTCATATGGCTCAAAGAAACTTTTCATCTTTACCCTGATATGGAGAGAGAGTGAAAGGAAGCTGGGGAAGATCAATGACAAAACAAGAGGAGCTTTAAAAACTGTCCATTTCTAATTTTTTGTCCAAAATACCAGGCACACAATCAAGCAGTAAACATATGCTAATCAAGGAACTACCAGAGGAGCAAAACAAAACCCCCACCCTTACCAGCACTGGCAAGGCAGGCCACAGCACATAAATAAAGAGCAAACCCCATCCCATCCCAGCCCGGAGATGTTACCTAGCTGGGTAATGAAACATTTGGCTAACAGCATGATTGGGTGTGGTGGAATCTGGGCAGGTTCCAGCACTGAAGATGTTACCTAGCTGGGTAATGAAACATTTGGCTAACAGCATGATTGGGTGTGGTGGAATCTGGGCAGGGTAAAATCTTGAATAAACTATATCTCCTGGATTCTGGGCCCAAAGTTACTAATGAAGGATTCCAGCACTGAAGATGTTACCTAGCTGGGTAATGAAACATTTGCAAGAAAAGAACCAAGCTCAGAGAACCCCAAGGACTCCACAAAAAGAAATGAGGAAGCTTACCTTCCACAATATGATCAGCCTCTTCAAAACCTTTCTGAATATCTCCTTTTTCAATCTTCCTTTCAGCCTTAAAAAAAGACTCTTTCTCAATGGCTTCCTGTGCAAATTATAGGAGATTGAATGAATATATATATCTATATATTTATATTTACACACACACACATACACACAGACTTGAAACATCCAGCTCTGCTTTGTGTCTCAACATCCTGCTGCAGGAGAAGGGCAAAGGAGGGAGTGAGAGATCCAAAGCAGAAAAAGAGGATATTAGATAGAGAAAGATCAGGTGTCCCCACCCACTAGTTTCTTCATCTCCTTTATACAGCCCACAAAGATTACCCCTAAGTGAATACAACCCTAAAGAGAAAAATAATTGCTCACCCCTGATTTCAAACTTCAAACATTTATGCTATAAAACTGAAAGCAAGTGTGTGTCTGGCCAGTGCTTGGATGAAGCCAACTTGCAGAAGAAAAAGGTGTTTATATGCACCAAGTCTGTTGCCCCTTGCCCTGTTTCATACAAACAATGATCTCAATAAGTGTAGAAGCAAGTACAGACTATTTTCCCATATCCATCTCAGAATCACAGTAACAGAAACCAGAGAAGTTACTCTCAAAGCCATCTTTAAAAAAAAAGAAAAGAAAAGAACTAGGCTTACTCAGTCAGGCCTCTGAAATCAAGGTATGTGTCCCTTTTGTGTCAGTGTCTCACCTGGATAGTGACAATTGGTGTAAGCTCTTCATATGTAATCTTCACTGCTTTAGCAGCTCTTCGAGAATGTTCCTGTGTATCTGCCAATACTCCACCAATAATGTGTCCAACACATGTGACCTATGAGAAAAAAAAGACTTTAGTTTATTCAGCAACTTTGGAAAGCTTAGCTAGTTTACTACCTGTAATACTTTATTTTGGATATATTTATTTTTGAAATCCAACTTTAAATAAAGAAGACAACCATTCTGAATGTAGACATATTGTTGGATAATAGCTAGGCTGGGCACAAAGAGATTTTCAAAATTCTGTTAAATTAGTGAGCCCAGAAATTGAGCAGGCAATTTCTCCAATTGTCTCTAGAGCGGTGTTGTCCAAACTTGGCCACTTTAAGATGAGTGGACTTCAACTCCCAGAATTCCCCAGCCAGCCATG